GTTCTACTTCTTCTCCTACTCCGGCGAACCCCCCAGCAAAGTCTACCTGGGCTGATGTTGTTGTCGATTCTGGAAAAGTTACTTTGTCCTTTCACCCGCCGAATTTCGGAATGGTAGATTAGTAGTTCTTGATGATGTTCATGTTGTGGGTTTGAAATCTTGGAGCAATTGTTTAGCGGGTACGTTTCTTGGTGGTTCCTCGCCCAACAATGGCGACATTGTTCATACTGTAAACAAACTTTGGGGTAGAAAGGGGAAAATAATTGTTACTTGAGTAGGCAATAATACCTTCTTGTTCTAAATTCCGGATCCTGCAACTAGGGAATGGGTTTTCCATTCCAAGATTCCATGGCATGTGTCTCAAAGAACTCTGTATCTCCAGCCATGGAAACCTGATCTGGATTTATCCAAGATTGAACCCTTGAAGATGCAAATCTGGGTTAAAATTTGGGGAGTTCCTATGACTTTGTACACGCCTCAGGGGCTAGGATATGTGGTTACTGGCTAGTGCCATTGGAGCCCCTGTCTGCCTTGATAACGCCGCAGAAGAGTGTGTTTACATCAATTATGCACAGGTATGTGTTGAAGTGGATGCAGATAAAGTTGCTGATCATCCATCCTCGATCCCTATTGGTGGTGTGAAACAACAACCAATGGAGCTTCTCTTTGAGTATCCATGGCTCCCTGTGCATTGTGGAAATTGCAAGAAGGAAGGGCATCTTAAAAGGGACTGTACAAGGAAATTACAATGGGAACCAACCAAGAAACAAGAATGGAAACTAATCTCAAGGAAGAAGACAAATGAAGAACTCGAGAAAGTGGTTTCTACTGTTGCTACCACTTCTCATTCGAGCTTGCCTGATCTTGAGCTAAATAGTAAACTTCCAGTACCAACCAAGGATATACAGATAGTATCACCATCTGTTTTACCTGGTTCAGATAAATTGGCCACTTCAACTCGCCAGCTAGTATCCATAAATGATTCTCAGCAGACAGTTCCTGTTGGTAACCCATTTACTGCTTTGTATACCTTGCAATCTAATTTGCTAGAGCAAGAGTCTGCCCTTAAACAGAGGAGATCTAGAGCTGCTTCTCAAGGTGTTGCTATTGCTACAAAAGCTCTATTGCCACGACCAAGACAGTCCAAGAAAAGTTTGAACTCCTCAAGTGAGGTTCTTCAGCCCCAGTTAAAATGAAGATTCTCTTCTGGAATGTTAGAGGCATTAGCACGCCCAATAAACAAAGAGAGTTGAAAAGGTATTTTATGCAATATAATGCTGATATTATTTGCTTACTTGAGACTCATGTTCAGCAGCAAAAGTTTTTGGCAATATCTAGCTTTCTATTGCCTGGGTGGTCAGGACACAACAAATATGAGTACGCAAGCTTAGGAAAGATTTGGGTGTTTCATAGGGCTCATATTCAGATTAATATATCAAGTGCCACTTCCCAAGCTATGCATTGTCATACTTTTGACAGTACATTGGCAAGTATTTCTTCCTTAATGTGATATATGCAAACTCATACCATGAGAATGTTAGGCAAAAACTATGGAAAGAGCTGGTTCTTATAAGTAAAGCTCTCCCTCAAGTGCCATGACTGGTGGGCGGAGATTTTAATGAGATTTGGTCAATAGATGAGAGGTCAAACTTTTGGCAATCATTCACTCTTGCGAAGAGCTCTGAATTTTTCCGAAACCAACTCAATGAAGCAAAGCTGCATGATCTTCCTTCAAGTGGTTCTTATTTTACCTGGGCTCACAGCACAATTTCTAAAAAGTTGGACAGACTAATGGCGAATGAGGTTTGGCTAGATAATCTCGCATCCACTAACGCATCTTTTCTGCTTCTTGGATGCTCAAATCATTGTGTTGGTTTGGTTGAAATTACTTTGCCTATGGTTAGCAACAGACGGAAGCCATTTAAGTTTTTTACCCTTTGGACCAAGAATGAGGCCTTCTTGACAACAGTTAAAAAAATTTGGGATTCCACATGTAAAAGGTTGTGCCATGTATCAACTTTGTAAGAAACTCAAAGTCCTAAAGCCAGCTTTGAAAAGCTGAATAATGATCACTATGGGGACATACGTAGCAAACTGCAGCAAGAAGAAGGTAAGTTACATATGCTGCAACTTGATCTATTAACTAACCCAAATGAAGATTTAATACAAGTTGAGCATGAGCAGGCCAATAAAATGGTAGCTTTGCAACTAGCTGTGAATCTTTCTTTAGGCAAAAATCAAGGGTTAAATGGCTGCAAGAAGGCATTAGCAATACCACATATTTTCATGAAGTGGTAAAAATAAGAAGGATGAAAAATACAATGAATGAACTCAGTGCATGGATAGAAGGAAACTTACGGCCTTACGTGGCATGGAGACTGAAGTTGTACAATTCTACCGAACTTTGTTAGGAGCAAAAGATGTGAATTGTAGAAGGGCAGATAGTCAATGGCTCAAAGACTTGCTGCAATTCCAATTGCTAGAGGATCTATGTAGTTTACTTACACAACCAGTGACTGGAACAAAAACTTAGGCTGTTGTGTTCAACAGCCTTGGAAATAAGGTAGTAGGTCGGATTGCTACACAGTAGAATTTTTTAAGGCCTCTTGAATAGTTATAGGTGACTTGATGATAAAAGCCATCCAAGAATTTTTTACAATTGAGAAAATGTTAAAGAAATTGAACTCTACGTTGATAACCTTAGTTCTAAAGGTCTCAAATCCTACCAGAATGTTTGAGTTCAAGCTAATCTATTGCTACAATTTACTTTATAAATTCATTACAAAGATTTTGGCTGAAATACTCAAAATATGTTTGCCCCTATATTTAGTCACAATCAATGCACTTTGGTGGAAGGAAGACTAATGGTAGTGAATGTTTTACTAGCACATGGAATGGTAAAGAATTTGCACAAGCAGCATATTAGTTCATGTTGTGCTCTTAAGATTGATTTGATGGAAGCTTTTGACTTTGTCCATTGGGATTTTGTTTTCCAAATTTTGGATGCTCTTGGATTCCCCCCTCTTTTCATAAATTGGCTGGTTTCTTGTATTACTACTCCAAAGTTCTTTATGGTTTTCAATGGGAATCTTGTAGGATATTTTCCTGGGAAGAATGGTATCAAGCAAGGTGACCCTTTGTCACTGTATATATCTTTGTTATATGCATGGAAGTTCTCACTAGAATGCTTAACAAAACTGCAGCCGAAGGACAGTTTGCCTATCACCCTAAATGTGCAAAGGTTAAACTCACCCACCTTTGCTTTGCAAATGACCTTATCATTTTTATAGATGGAAAGGCATCCTCTCTAGCTACAATTGTTGACACTTTGAAGAGCTTCTATTCTATTTCTGGTTTGAAGGTAAATTATGCAAAGTCAGAATTATTTTGTTGTGGGATTACAACACTTTACCTCAATTTATGGATTCAAGATTGGCACACTGCTTGTTAGGTACCTGGGAGTAGCTTTAATCACAGGAAGACTAACAGAAAAAGATCTAAAGCCATTGGTATCTAAGATCACAGACAGAATGAATTCTTGGACATCGAAACACCCCTCTTTTGCTGGGCAATTGCAATTAATTTCCTTTGTTATTCAGGGAGTCACAACCTTCTGGTGCTCAACTTTTATTCTGCCTAAAAAAGTGACTAAGGAAATTGAAAAACTTTGCACTGCTTTCCTATGAAATAATTCTACTGATGGTGCAAGGGAGCTAATCATTCTCTTGGAACAGAAAGTTGGTTGGCCTCTTTACAAGAAAAGAAAGAACCAAAATTTTCCAAGAACCCACCAAAGTTACGTTCACCTCTTAGAAATTATTAGAGCTAGTGGTGTGCAATTTTGGAAGAATCTAGGCAGAGAACTGCAATGGAAGTCCTAGAAATATTTTGATAACTTGCTCTAAAACTGTTGTTAGTCCGAGAAAATGAAAACAGCAAATTCACGGTTCGTCTTCTCTCTTTCTTTTTGGATTTCAAAACATTAGATTGAGGGCAGCAATTGCAGATTTCATGGTGCAGTTTCCTTTTGGAACTGATCGTATCTTAGCTTCTAGTATAGTTGCTTCAGTTTTGGATCTCTAAGGTCTGAATGCAAACAGTGAAACCCCAACTGTGGTGCAAAATATGCTGATAGAATCCCACATCGGAAGTGAGTACGGTTATAAAGTTCTTTATATGCATGTGTTCTGTGCTCCCATAGGTAAGTTGTTTGATCTGCTAAACTGGTCAGACAAATACTTCATGGTTCTACTTTTGACCAAAGAGTACTGCCATGAAGTAAGTGTCTGGCGAGTTTAATATGTTTGAATAATCCAAAGAGCGTTCAGAAAGCGATGGGAATTGCCGAATAATCCAAAGAGCGTTCAGAAAGCGATGGGAATTGCCGAATAAACATGCTAAACTGGTCTGTGAGTGTCTGAGGAGTGTTCAGAAAGCGATGGGGAGCTAAGAAAACGACGGACTATATGAATAATCCAAAAAGTATGTAAGTCTTAAAAAATATTAACTACTAAATAATATAAATTTTTTTTTTTAATATTATTAGTAATATGTTAGTAATTTAAGAATTTAAGTGATAATTTTTTTTAAAAAAATAAAAAATTTTGAATTTAAATTATAAAATGAGAAGAAATAGATAAAAAATTAAAATTTTTTTATTATATAATTAAAATAAAAAATATAATTTATGTTATGTCATTGTCCTAAATTTTTATGTCATTTATCATTGTTATAAGAATACGGTTTTGACTACAAAGTACTGCTATTGAATACGCTTGGGGACAAATTGTTCAGACAGAATGGATTACTTTTGAGTTTTGACTACGAATACGAATATTTCTTTTATGGAAACTATTGATATATGCAAAGTTTTCTTGTTATTTATATTTATTTTTAAAATATTATCTTTTACCTCAAAAAAGTAATGGTTTAATATTATAAAAATTTAAATTTTTAATTTTGATTTCAATTAAAAGTTTTAAGTTAGTGGGTAACTTTTTACTCTAACTTTGACTCTATATTTAGAATTTTAAATTAATAAATACTAATTCAACCATAATTTTATCAATAATTATAAAAATATCATATTTACTTTTTATATTATAAACAAATCTTTTTAAAAATATATATAGATAAAATATTACTTCCCTTATTTAACTTTAGTGAGCTTAGTTTTTTTAATAAAATAAAGATGTAATAATTAATTAAGAAAATTTCATATTTATTCTTAAT